GAATACTGCGAATAATCAAATACTCAATTACATTAGCACATTGATTAAAGGTCGATGCCTGATTTTATATATATACTATGTAATTGTTTTAGTAAACAATTATATCGTATGTATATAAAATTAGGCATCAGCCTTTAATCGATATGCTAATGTAATCGAATATTCAAGTATTCGCAGTATTCATCAAAATAATTTTTATCTGCTATTTTTAACTATTTCAAAAACAGCGATAAGTTTTATTATATTAAAAATTATATTAATAAAATTTTTTATAAAATTTTACTAAATAATTTTATAAAATATTTATAACTAAATTATTTATTACTTTTTTTAAAGAATATAAATAAAAATTTTTATATAAATTAAATAATTTTTTAATTTTTTATGAATAAAAAATCCAAAAAAATCTAAAATTTAGACTAATTTTATTAAATTTTAAATTTAATTTTAATTTTGCTAATTTTTTAATTAATTTTTTAATATTTTTTATTTTTTGTTTTTTATTATATTTTAAAATTTTTTTATTTATTAATTTACTTATTTATTAGCTAATCAAATTTAAAGTTTTTATAAATGAAAATTACTATGATTTATTTTAAAAAAATTTTTTATTTAAGTTAGAGTTGGGTTAGAATTATAATAAATAGTAAACTTTAATATAAAATTTAGCAAAAAAATTTTTTTATTTATAATACTAAAGGCAGTTTTTTAAGTTAAATTTTGTATTATAAGTAATTTTTTAATTTTTTGTAAAAAAACTTTGTTTTTATTATATAAAGAAAATTTACAGATTATACTAATTTTGCAATTTTGATTGGTCAGATGCAAGATTATAAATTATACAGTCTGTTAAGAATAAAGTAAATATAAATCATTTTTAATAATAATTATATTGTTATCATATAGGATCTTTGCTAGGATTTTTTTTCTAAAAATAGATTTATTATATTTTTCTTAATAAAAATTTTGTGTAATAATAGCTCATAAGATTATTTTGCTAGCAAAGATCCTATATGATTTACATTAATTTAGCCAATCAAAATTGTAAACAATAGAAATCTAACCAATAAAAATTAATAATTTTTGTATTATCTAAACAAATTTTAATTGATCTAAAAAAATTTAATAATATATAGAGGTAGATTTTTTAAATAATATAAGAACCAAAACTTTTATTATTATAAAAAAGGTTTTAATCTATATACTATATTATGAAGTTTTGATAAAGTTTAATTATGAATTTAAAAACTTTTACTAATAGTATATACTCATTTTTGTATAAAAAATTTTTAGCATATAAGATTATATAATAAATGATTTATGTTTATTCTACCTTTAAAATTAGCAATACTCTTATATTTAAATTTTTATATTTGTTTAATTAATTTTTAAAAAATTTTAAATTTAATAAAAAGGCAAAAAAACAATAAAGACCTGTCTCTATAACAACTTTACATATAACAGTCAATCATATTTAGGATTCAAAATTTTCTTTTGTATTTTTTATTATAAAAGTTATAAAATTTGTAAAAATTTTTATTGGACAATAATAAGCAATATATTATATAATTATATGCTTAATTTTAATTAGCTATTTATATAGAGTTGTCATGATTATAAACTAACACCCTAATAAAAAGTATCATTATTTTTTGCTAATACTGTATTTACTAAAATCTACATATACTTTTTTATTAAAACTTCAACCCTAACCTAACTAAAAAAAAAGCTACAAAAAAAACCTTATAATTTCATAATAAAACATTAAATATAAAAATCTAATTATGTTTTTGTTTAATAATTAGATTTAATTCAAGTTCCAAACAAATAACTGGTAATTCACTGCTATTAGCATATTATTATATTGTGAAGCCAAAATGGTTATCAAAATCAAAAATGCTGCTCTAGATCAAAAGATTACTAAAAGTCAAAAGCATTACATGTTAAAGTATTTTTAACACCACAGTATTGGTATCTTATCAATCAAGTTACCAAGATTCAAACTTGAAATTTATAGATTATGCCATGAAATCGTTCAACTACTACACCCAATCAGAATCAAGATTTTGTGAACGAACGCAAAGTTCATATGTTAACCATACCTGATACATTTCGTTTCGCCACGTTCCTGGTATATTGGATATTTTATGATTGATACACAGTGGTTTAGGTATACAAGTGGCATAAAATTGATGTGACCAGATGACTCGCATCATAGATATTAGGAACCCAATGTTAAACAGCAGTGCTGTATTAATTAAATGATCTCGCTCTATTATAGTTCTGATAGGATCTGTATATGGGATGAGTCCCAAACCTAATTTTTACATGTAGTGATTTGGGATTTTTAGTCGTAATATAAGTTACATGTCAAAAGTGTTTGACATTACGGCAAATTAAGGGCATCTTGCGGAACTTAGTAAATACTATTTGGGTTTCTACCTAATCCCAAACTAGTAGGTTTGGGGCGCAACCCTAGTTATTAATCATGGGAGTGGTAGTGTCATTAGTCATAGAGGTGGTGATGTTATTAGTGATGGTGGTGGTGTCATTAGTCGTGGGGGGTAGTGGTGTCATTAGTTGTGGGGGTAGCATTATCGTTAGTGGACATTTTACGTTCCTTTTAAGTAAAAAAAAAATATAAGTAATAATTCGTCTTTATAGTCTCCATTAGACAAAATGATATTACTTTAAAAATAAATTACAGGCAGATAAAAAAATATATATACGAGCAAAAAAATATTATTGATACCCACCTACAAAGAACAAAGAGATCGCTTATTTTTATATCGTCCATTCGCTGGATCTAAAGAACCTGCCAGAAGGAAAATTAAAGCTTAGTAATTATGTTACTCTAACACAATGTCAAATCACACTTAACAAAGCAACCCCATTTCGGTTATAGTTCTAAATACTGTTTCTATTTTGTTGTTTTTTTTAGGTAAATTAACCCCCTTAGATTCGACGTTCGCTTCTGCGAAGTGAAAGGTTAACGATCTTGACGATCTGGGAATTCCAAGTTCCTGCAACATATGAATTTTGATAGCACAACTGATAAAGAGCGTTGTATTCTTCCCTTCTTATGTCAAGAAATTCCGAGCTGCCGGCCAGGTTGTAGTATCTCAAAAATTCCCTATATCTAGCACTAACAATTGTGTTCTATATATGAAATTAAGCCACCAGGGCCAGCTTTATTGACATAAAATCAAATACATATACGCTGAGGTACTTAATAATCCTGGATATCATTGATGATGCAGGGGTACGTTCTTTATATTTTAACTTACCGTCCAACAATTCCGATGTAGTGAAGATTGTTAACAAATCTAACACGTTTATTTCGCACCCAATTCGCTAGTTACACGAAACCAATTATCGTTATTTGGTTTATAAGCAATCTGATTGGCTACAAGACGTGTCCATCTGAGTATTTATAAAATTTTACCTTTCCCAAATTCTTCAGAACGAGTTATGGATTTTTATCGAGTGAACGCAATCGAAAATTGGATGTGTGCGAATTTACTGGAATATTATCGTTCGAATACGAAATACAAAGACAGGAAGCAAATTTTGGACCGCATTAAAAAAGACTTTCAAGGAATGGAAGATTCTAATTCATTTGATGCAGTAAAAAAAGGAGAAGCTCGAAAAATACTCGACAACTGGAAGGTATATTCATTTAGTAGGAATAGGGTTTGAACGGATTAAGTGATTGATCTGAACAGTTATGAACTACTCGTTCGACGCTAAGTGCAAGCTGGGACTACTCGTCTCCAGTGATGAACTACTCGTTCGACGCTTAGTGCAAGCTGGGACTACTCGTCTTACAAGGACGATCTTTAATCCTGCGTTTCTTTTGTTCTATATTATTGTCTTGTTACTGAGTAACGTTTCAATTTTTTTTGATCACTATACTATATTTTGTTTAACCAAGAAATGGACCGCACCGGTAAAGAATTCAAATCAAGATTGTGAACGTGCAAAAATCGGGTATCTGCAAGTAAAGCAGATAAATTTACTTGCAACTGGGAGTGGCGCTACGTACAACGACAATCGCATAGCTTCAGGAAAACGTTGTCGAGATGCAAATGGCGAAGAGACTAATACAAAAAAGGTGAGTCATTAATTGCTATATATATATGACTGACATTATCAGTATTGTCAATTTTATGTTCTATTGATAAAAATCTTATTATATTCTAAATTATATTGCTCTATTCTATTGTTCTATTCTATTGTTCTATTTGTCTATTGCTACCAACACTGATTGTGATCTAGCGGAATTTAACAAATGTTGATAGTCCTACTGATAAGATAGCATCTCAAGAATGCTCAGATAACAAAGTGGGTGAATCAAGTGTAAGTATCTTCATCAATATCGAAATAATTTTTTAAATTGGTTTGCTTCTATTAATTGTCAATGTAATTAGGGAAATAATATTTACAATAATGACGATCCTAATGAAATAATAGAATTTAAATATAATGAACTAGAAGAATTAGAACAGCAAATAATGTCCAGTTCATTAAGCGAGGTATACAGCAGTAATTGAACCTTTTAATTTCTGTTTATTGTATACATGTTGTTGTGTTATTTTATATTTTAGTGGGAAGTAGGCACGGTTAACGTGTCAAGAAAATTCAGAATGTATCAAAGACAATTAATAACAAGTGTGATGCACGGAGAAAGAAAATTGACGTGGAACAATATATTCGAACTATTGTAAGTACTTTAACAATATTTAAGTTGCATTTACTTGTGAAGACATACTAAATCTATTTATCCTATTATATTTTAGGGCCCTATCGTCAATAATTATTATGTGTTGGCCTTGTCCCTACTCTACATTTACAAGTTCTGAATGGCGACAAGTCCTTAATTCGAATCCATACAAAATTACACAACCCATTTTAACGGATTCACTCTTAACCAGTTTATATAAAGCCACAAATGACTTTTCACTTGGTCTAAATTATAACCTTATATTGAATAACGATGGCGAATTAGGAGAAAAAGCTAGTCGTATATTTAATTATATGTAAGCTGTTGTATTGCAGAAATGATTAAAAAGTTAAGGATTTATTGGAATAATCTAAATTTTATTTTTTTTGTAGTAAAGATGAGCTTCCACTATCATCAAAACGAAAAGAAACTGAGATTAAGCACTGTGTATATTACTTAGATCCGTTTATAAAACTTATTTTTGGTGGAGAGTACGCACCTTACAACCTGGAATTAAATAAAAGCGTGAGTGGAAAACAAAGACCGGATTTTAGCTGTGTAGTTGATGATATTGCGATATTAAACTCCGAGATCAAGCCTTTGGGGTTCACTCAATTGAAGAAAGATCAAGACTTTGTAAAAGTACATATTAAAGGAAAAACATCAATTAACAAATTACTAGAGAAGGGAGGACCTAACCAATCAGTGGCTTTTTTGAATATGGGTATGTCATAATTATTATCCGGGGCGAAGCAGAGGAAACTCTACAACAGTGAATGTCAATAATATCACTTGAAAAGTCTGTTCACTTTCGTGATGTTGATTGGTTGAATGCATAATCAATCACATGCATCAAATAGATAGCAAATCCACCGATGCAATAATCAGAGCAGATGATTTTTTGCAGTGATATTATTTATTTTTAAATAGCGAAAATCATCGACCTGACAATAATCTCTAGACAACTGATTCTATGCACTGCCTAGTATTTTTCAATATTTTTTAATCACAAAATTCATTTATACAGGGGATAATATAGAGTCATTTGTCATTGATTTAGCATATGATGGTGTTTATAGATCATGGCCATGTCTTAAAAACAAATTAGCAATTGATAAAGGGTCGTTTCCGTTGATTGTATTGACATTTTCCCATTTTATATTAATGGAGGTAAACATCTTTGTTTTATTGAATTTTACCATAAAGTTTTATTTATAAATTCTATCATATATAATATTTGTAGCAATATGTTAGTAAAATTGTAAACGACTATGAAGATCGAGAAAATCGACCACCATCTGAACAGACCGAAAAGTTGAAATTTATTAGAAGAATGCCAACTACAACACAGTTCAAATTATTATTGAAACAATGAGATTTAGACGATTTTTTAACACATATAGTATGTGGTTGTTATGAATTATACACATGTATATACTTTTTAAAAAAAAGAATTGTTGAAGCACAAAAGAAATACATGCTATGTTTTATAAAATTTATTAAAAAATATATCAAAAACCCATGTAGTGTTGGGCAGAGATTAAGGGCATCAATGTTAGGTCATGGTTGGTTATTAGTCGGTTATCTCTGGTAATTGCTTATAAGCTAACCGACTGGTGGTTAATAACTGACTGTTGCTAATTTTAAGGGCATAATTCTTGCACTCGTTTCAATATCATATGCAATTGTGACATTCCAAACCGCCATACGCGCGATCAGATTGATTTTCTTTTTTATATAAATTTCAAGATATATAATCTTAGCAGAATCAATATAAAATGTTTTATGTAAGTAATTACCGCTCACATCACCACAACATTAAAACTACGGAGACAAGGCCTTTTCACTACACTACCTAAGTGGTTAAATTTTCAAAAATAAGACTTTTTATTTCATACACGCATACATGTGCACATTTGGGCCAGATAAGGTTTCGGTCTGGTGTTGATTTCAAAATGAAGGAAGAATACGTAGCATAGGCTAATTGAGCGACCTTGGTTAGAGTACTAATTAGGGGGGATGGCTAAAGCCAGGTGTGTTTATATGTTTTTTAATATTTAATTAAAATTAGGGTAAGGGTTGGCTAGAGGTCAAGGTTAGGGCAAGACTTATAGGTAAAATTGCCTTCCCGACATTTTTTATTAGTGCCCCGAGGTAGGTTTAGACACT